TGGCCACATGCTTTAATGCACATGGTAGTGTTGGGTTGATGGTTGGATTTAATGATTTTAAAGGTCTTTTCCAGCCTTAATGATTCTATGATCCTTTGAGTTCAGCACGGAGGCTGTCACTGCCTGAGCTGCTCTGTTCCAAGAGCTGCTGTGGTGAAGCCTCTAGCTATGCCAAGCAATGAGTGCTTGGACCCCTGGAGCCTGCAGCAACCTTTTGTTCCATTAATTACTGAATCACAGAGTCATTAAGGTTGTAAAAGACCTCCAAGATAATCAAATCCAACCATCACCCAACACTACCATGACCACTGAACCATCATCCCAAATCTGCATGTTTTTTTAATCCCACCAAGGATGGTGACTCCACCACCTCCCCGGGCAGCCTGGGCCAATGTCTCACTACTCTTTCAATAAAGAAATTCTTCCTAAGACACAACTAAACCTCCCCTGGTGCAACTTGAGCCTATCTCTTCTTGTCCTATCTCTTGTTTTTTGGGAGAAGAGCCCAACCCCCACCGGGCTCCAACCTCCTTTCAGGGAGTTGTCCAGAGCCAGAAGGTCTGAGCCTCCTCTTCTCCAGACTAAACAACCCAAGGTCTCTCAGCTGCTCCTCACGAGCCATGTTCCCCACACCCCTTATCAGCTTTGTTGCCCTTCTCTGGACCTGCTCCAGCCCTTCAAGGTCCTTTTTATACTGTAGTGCCCAAAACTGAGCCTAGGACTCAAGCTGTGGCCTCTCCAGTGCCAAGTACAGGGGCAATCTTAGACTCCAGTTTCTTTGGATGACAAAATAAACTGTTGGCCCCAGGCATTCTGGAAAGTATTTAAGCCCATGTCTCCCACCTCATTTCTGATCACTGTCTGTATGGCTGCCTCCATGCTAGACAAATTCCTGCTCTCTCCAGTCCTGTGCCTTGCACTGCAGGGCCTGGAATGAAGTGGTGCTAATTTGGTTATGTGGAGCAGATAGCTCTTGTACAGACAGCTTACAATATTGAATTCTCTCCTCAGTAACTGCTGGCAGTTCTCACTGGCAGTTCACACAGATCAGATTTGTCTTGCCCGGTGTGCCTGGCTAACAGCTTGCACTTCTGAGGGAGCTGGGGGTGCTGAGCCTGGAGCAAAGGAGGCTCAGGGGAGACCTTCTGGCTCTGCACAGCTCCTGACAGGAGCCTGGAGCCAGGGGGGGGGCTCTGCTCCCAAGGAACAAGAGACAGGACAAGAGGAAACAGCCTCAAGGTGAGCCACGGGAGGTTGAGGTTGGAGCTGAGGAGCAATTTCTTCCATGCAAATGTTGCCCAGGGCAGTGGTGGAGTCCCCACCCCTGAAGGGGTTCCCAAGCCATGGAGATGTGGTGTGAGGGACATGGGGCAGTGGGGACCTGGCAGTGCTGGGGAAGGGTTGGGCTCCATGATCTTCAAGGTCTCTTCCTACCAAAATAATTCTTTGATTCTGCCAACACAAGCTCCTCAGAGAGGCTCATGCTGCTCTTTTCAGGCACCTGTGGCCAAACACACCCCCCCTGGTTCTTTAGGACAGGCCTATGGATGCTGTATGACAGTCAAAGGCAGCTAAGTGGTGCCTTTGCCCCTCCTGATCCTTCAGCTTCTACTGGATACAAGGTCTCTTCCTACCAAAATAATTCTTTGATTCTGCCAACACAAGCTCCTCAGAGAGGCTCATGCTGCTCTTTTCAGGCACCTGTGGCCAAACACACCCCCCCTGGTTCTTTAGGACAGGCCTATGGATGCTGTATGACAGTCAAAGGCAGCTAAGTGGTGCCTTTGCCCCTCCTGATCCTTCAGCTTCTACTGGATATGATGGATATGGGATGGAACACCCCACTGGTGAATCCTTGGGTCAGTTATTCCACCCTCAGCTCCCTCCAGGTGTGGGGTGCTCTCTGTCCCCCTCTGTGTGGGATCCAAGCTTAGCAGTGGCCTTGGTCTGTATCCCTGGCAGTAACTCTAAACATGAAGTCTATGAAAATGCTGCTAACTCAGAGCAGTTAATTAGAAGAACTTTAGCTGAAATGTAAAATCATTGAGCAGAACCAGCTCTATTTACCCCAAACCAGGACAATGACCCAGAGGAATTTAGGAGAGCTGAGGTTGCCCTGGATACTTCTATCACCTGAATGATTCTAAAGAAGTTGAACAACAGGGGTGTCCATATCTCAAGCAGCCAGCTCTTGTTGATCTCCACAGAATTACCTTTTTTTAAGGAGCAGTGAAGAACAACACTCTGCCTCCAGAGGAAGGCAGAGCTGGGGTAAAACCAACTGACTGTGCAAGAGAGGGAGGTCAGGTTCAACCAGCTCACTCCTGATGGTGACACCAGTGCAAGCAGCACCACCAAGCACTGCTGTAGGCCTTAGAGACACCTCGGAGGAGGTTGTTCCCACTGGCAGGGGCTGAACTGAGCCACTCCAGAAGCACCTTCCAGTTCTGCTACACCAGCAGGCAAAGGGTATTTTTGTTGCTCTTCCTCAGTGTTTTTATTAGCGGTCAGAGGAGAACTCCTCCTATTTAGGGGTTTATATTTAGAGCTTGTGTAGCTCTAGTCGTATTGCCTCTTTTCAGAGGCAGCAGCGTGAGAACTGCTGAATGTGTCACCCCACAATGATTCACATCCCGTGGGAGTTTGAGCAACTTCATCCTGCCAGGGTACGGCAAGCGCCAAAGAAACAACCTCCCCGTGGGGCCGGGAGCCACCACCACAGGGTCCCCACAAGGCTGAAGCCAGTTTTGGAGGACAGATGGGATGCAGATGGCCTGGGGCTTTGGGAGGGATGAACTTGACCCTCCGTGGCGACTCCTACGCATCTAGTCTAGGGAAGTTCCCACTATGCATCCACTGCCACTGTCATAGAGCCAAAGATCTACCCTGGCGAGACAAAAAAATAGCTTCATCTGCCCAGCTGAATTACAACATGCTGCTATTTCAAACCATAGCAGCAGGCTAGGGAAGCTCAGTGTAATATATTAAGCAACCCCCATGCTCCAAATTAACCCCTTGCTGAACAAGCAGGGTTGGTTTTTTTTTTTTAGAGTAAATCCAATGAGAAATGACAATTGTCACCATTTGTTTTATTGCTAGAGCTGAAATGACAAGTCTCACGACAGAGCTGTGGGGACACAAACTGCATGGCTGGCTATTAGGGGAAAAAAAATACATCTCCAAATTCAAGGTCAGCTAGAAAAAGGCTGAGGTGCTCTGGATCAGGCACGGCAGGATCTGGCTGGCCAACATACAGCCCCTCTTCACCAGGCCTTGGACACATTGCTGGATTAAACAGCTGCCTTCAGGCTCAGCCCCAGCAGATGAAGAGGGACACTCCGAGTCTTTGCCAGGCAGTGACAGGGAGTGTCTTCCTGAGAGCCCAGGAATCACACAGCTCTGCTTCCAGCCAGCTCCTCGGATGGCCACGAGCTGCCTCCATCCCTCCTCCTGGGAGTGGGAGCCTCACCAGTCGCCTCCAGCCTCATTCCCCCAGCTCAGCCTACACAGCTCCTCTCCTTTAAGGCTTCTGTTATTCTCCCAAGCTCCTGCGTGACACTGTGACAAACACTAGGCAGCGATGCCACCCGATTGTAGCAAGAGAGGGGGGAGGAAAAAAAAAACCCTGCAAACATAGGAAAAGATTTGCATTGCGATTGTTGGCGCATCAATTGACCAGCATTTCCATGGCAACACACACGGGTGTTGTGCTGCTCCTCCTCCTCCTCCTCCTCGGCAGCTCTTTCATTTACGACAGACTGCAGTAGTGTGGAAGGCAGAGGCTGCTGCGTGCCACACGCCCAGGGTTTTGTTTCACCGTGGCCCAGCAGCCCCTCGGTGCTGTCACCTGGGTGGTGGGTGACACCCTGTGCCCCCAGCCCTGTGCTCCTGCTCCACACACACACCCCCCCCAGCTACTACGGGGGGAAAGCCCGTTGTAAATAATTCATACCCTGACTTTACATAAGCAGAGAGCGACATGAGCTCGGCTGGGAAGAATGAATAGGGTGATTAATTCCTCTCCCTGCCGGCGGGCTGATTCCAACAGCCTTTGTTCCAGCACTACAGACACACCAGCAGCACTGGTGCCGGAGAGCTGCGGGGTCTCCAACAGCCCCACGGTTGCTTCTGGCTTCTGCTGGGCAGCTCAGAGGAGAGAGCCCATGGTACATGTCACCCTGCAAGCTGGCTGACCAGGGAGGAGGCTTCTGCTCACATAAAAAGCTGCCTGTGACACCAGCCTGCTCAAACCAAGGGTCAGATCAGACTCGGGCTGGGTGCTGTCAAAGAGGCAACGCCCTCTGAGCCGTGTTGGGGCCAGCTCCTTCCAACCAGACAGCCTGGCTGACGTAGGTTGCATTTACACCTTATCCTGGGCACAGATAAGGATCACAGCAGCCAAAGAGCTGAGATTGGGGAAGCAGGAACTGGATTTGCTCTAGCTGGTGACCAGCAGGGGCATTGCCTCCGGTACAGCTCCGTGGGCAACACAACCTGCTCTGTCTCCTTGTCCTTATCCCCAGCACTGCTGAAATATCAAGGTCTAGCACTCGATTTGGCTTCAGAAAGGAGCAAAGCTGCTGTTCACTATTAACGTTGTCCTCTGAAGAAAGAAGCCCTTCACAGCAATGTGAAATGGGTAAAACCTGAGCCAGGTTAACTGATTTGCATAGGAAAGCTATTACAGCGCTCTGATTAAATCTTCACAACCCTCCCACCACGCTTTCCATTCTCACTGCTAGGTCAGATTTTCCTTTCATGTGCTTGCTACCCGGAATTGCAATCCAAGCCGAGTTCTAGCTGAACTTCACAGCACTCCTCTCAGTTTCCCAGACAAAAGCCCTTTTCCAGGCAGCTCTGGCTTATGCTCAAACAGAAACCTAACTGAGTTCATTTGCAGGAAAAGAGAAGAGAAAACGAAAGCAACACACATAACTATAAAGTCATCAAGCTTGGCTGGGCTGACTTCTGGACAGACAGACACTTCCTCACATAGGCAACGGATTGTGAGTCAACATCACTCCCCTGCGCCACGCACTCACGTCCTCCCTGGGAAGAAGTGACCATTTACGATTCCTTCTGCCCCACCAGGGAAGCTGCAAGGCGCCCCCGTGCACTGTCCCCACAGCTCGTGGTGATACACGCGGCTGGGAAACTCCACGCTTCCCATTTGTGTGGAAAATAAAAGGCTGTCCTTGAAATGAGGGAAATGTTGGCTCAGCTAAAAACCCCTTCAAGTCCTGTCAGTCATACCCGATTTATCTCTGTTTCCATAACCCCCGAGGTTACACCCCGGTGCTCTAGTGAGGTAGGGGGGATAAAGGGAGTGTCACTTTGGTCATCAGCTGTCCTGCAGACTCCTGACAAGCCCTGCAATGAGGGGACTGCTGTAAACCACCTTTCCCTGCTGTCCTGGGACCCAGGTGGGGACAGACAGCACCCCAGCAGGACAGTGGGTGGGATATCAACCCCAGGACCTGCTGGGGATGAGGAGCATCCCACTGGGACAGTGGGTGCAGGACACCCTCAACTGTCCCAGGACCCGGTGGGTAGGAGCAGCATCCTATGGGAGCAGAGGGTCCCACCTCACCCAGTTGTCCCAGGACCTGCTGGGGACAAGCAGCACCCCTCCAGGGTGAGGGTCTCCCCTCCTTGAGCTGTCCCAGGATGGATGGGGCAGCACCCTACAGGGATAGCGTATTCCCCCCCCCCATTCCCAGCCTGTCCCAGGATGGAGAAGGCAGCACCCTACGGGGACAGAACCCTACGGGGTCAGCATCTCCCCTTTCCCGAGGCCACCCTAGGACGGAGGGGGCAGCAGCCCACCGGGACAGCGCGTCCCCCCCGGTACTCACCCGCAGTCGGGGGCCGGGCACCAGCGGCAGTCGGGGTCGGCGGCGAGGCAGCGGCGGAGCATGAACTCCTCGTACTTGGCGACGAGGTGCGGGGAGTCGTGGAGGAGGCGGCGGATGTCGGCGGGGTTGAGGCGCTCGCTGCACTCGGGGCAGCAGAT